CTGCATCTTTCAATTGAGTGAAATTTGAATAATGTTGCTGTGCTGGAAATAAAATTGAAAAGCCACATGGAGTGAGGGGTTTGATCTGGTAGGTCCAAATGAGACCGAATTCCAGTTTTCTGTAGCAGATCTAGTTCTAGATTTTCTGCGACCCAAAACTCACAAACATTTTCATCTGGATTCTAGTTTCATATAAAGACTGCAACACTGGTACAAAGGTTTATCTGTCACTGCTCAAGGAATGTCCTCACCAGCAGATGCTGGCAGTGGACAGGTGTACAGACCAGTGATTGCCAGATGATCTCAGTGAGATGTTTGATCAAGAAATAAAGACAGCTGCTTTTCTTCCTTAATCCTGTTAATTTTACTGCTTTTAATAAATTTACTGTAATTTGTAGAATTTTTCCTGAAGTAACAGTTTTTAAAATGCCAGCCATTCAAAAACACCTGCAAGCTGTAATTCTGGGGGTTTGCACATCTCTCTTACAAAGGAATTGAGAGAAAGTAGCCCCAAAACCCAGGCCCCTCCATGATGCTGTTCTGTGCTGCCCTTGCCTGTAAGGCTGAGCCTGCAGGTGTTACTTTGCATGGATGTTGGACCAGCTACAGGTCCCTGGCACGCAGCAAAGCTGTTATTTGGTAAACAAGTTCTTCTGAAACAGTGGAGCTGAAAGCAATTTCTGCATATGAAATGGATAAACTAAGTAGTTTGGGTCTTACAGTACTTAAATATCTTCAAAGACGTGAGTCCTGGTGTAGGACAGATTGTGGTGATGGCCCAGCATGTGGCTGTGACACCGGTGCTCCTTGCTGTGCTCCACAGGACACAACAGACAGGGAAACATCTTTCCATCCTGCTGCAGTGCCTGCCAGAGCCAGTTTGTTCCTCCAAGGCTGCCTAGGACTGCCTGGAAAGCTTTGGAGGGCCCTCCTTACTTGGTTTGTTGTCTCCCCACTGGGATCACACCTGTGTTGCTCCCACCCTCCTGTTCCTCTTGGTTTCTGTGAGTCCCCAGGACATCCCAAAGGTTGTCCCTCTGCAACATTTCCATCTTTCACATACTTGGGCTCATTTGTCATGTCCCCTGCTTTACTCACTGCACGGTGATGCTTATTTACTAATTCTAACATTTCCTCGTTAGTCATTCCCTCTAGGCCCATTAATCACTATAAATTCCCAAACGAGAGGCTGCAGTACATCGTTCCTTCCAACAGACAGCTGACACGTAGTAATTAGGCAGCTGAACATAAAAATAATGAGGCTGAGGCTCCCGCAGATCTCCTTCCCCCTCTCGGCACCTCGGGGGCAGCCTCTCCGCAGCCACCGCTGCACAAGCTGCTCCCCAGCACGGATGTGCCTCTTTCCCTCCCTTTATCCCCCAAACCTGCTCTCTGATCCATTGGTGAGGTACCCAGACATTTAGCTTTATGACTTCTGGCGGTATTTTTCCATGCATCACATCAACACACACTGAATTATTTAATCCCTCTGCCTCCCCTGTTTCCCCATCGTGCAGGGACTCATCCAGCTCCCATTGTTCATCTCTACCTGCTGCTCCAGAAAATCCTCGTGCCAAGCTGCCCTGCCAGCTTGCTGCAGCCTCTCTAACTCAGAGCACTCTTGGAAATAAATGCATCTTCTCACAACGGCTTCGCTCCCTGAAATAAAGAGTGTGATTCAGGCAGGGGTTTGACTGCCATGTGCAACGCAGAAATGGTCTGAGACACCAAAAGGCTCTTTGTGTCCAGACTAATTTCCCTGTTTTCTTGTATTCTCCCTCCTCAGCACAGTTAGGGAGCACTTTTAAGGAGCAGTTCTGCAGTCTTTTTTCCTTTTTTTTTTTTTTTCTCCTGTGGTGATCACTTTTGTTTGCCACAGAAATACCTTGGAAATTGAGTGCCCATGGAGAGGGACACAGCACCATCCCCTCCAAATTACACTGCAGCGTCCAGCATCACCAGCCAAACTGGAGTTAATGAGAATTAGGAAGAAACTTCCCCTGCAGCTCTTTTTTCCTCTCCTGCTCCTTTCTGAAGCAATGTGTCTTGGCTGCATTTGGCTTAAAAAGACCCTTGATCTGCTTTGTTTATGGTAATTTCTTTATTCCTGAGAGAGAGAGGGAAGGCAGCACCGAACTGATATTGTTCTGGGACTGCAGATGGGCAGATGGTTTGAAAAAATGATTGCAAGATTTCACTTGCACTCTGGGCCTGTCTTTCACATTTGGGTGAAAGACCAAGTTTTGTCTTCTGTCACGGGAAGCCTAATTTAGATTGCCTAAAACTTGAAATCAGTTTGAAGACAAATCCCCAAGGTCAACGACTCCACAGATTTGGAGGTTAAAGAATTGAGGTTAAGAACTGACAAACGAGGAAGCCAAGGCAAGATTATGGAAATGAGGATCTGTAGCAAATTCTCTCTTGTTTCCCCCTTGTAACCTCCTAATGACATTAGTGCCTGTCTTTGACAGTCCCTTCTCAAAGGGGAACTTACTTGAGCACTAAAGACGCTTTTATGAGTCCCAGAGACACACACAGGAAAACATGTGGGCAAATCTGCTAAGACCCAGATATGGGACACAGTCCTTAAAAGCCCTGCGCCGACTTAAAAGAAATGACCTGAGATAAGGGAGACAACAAAGCACGCTTGGCAGCTGGGTCCCCACCCCTGGATCCCCACCCCAGACCCTGTGCTGAAAGCAAACATACTTTTTTGCCTCCATGCTGCTAAATGCACACAGTTAAAAATTCAATCTTTGCATCTCCCCAGTGAGCTGGAGCACTTCTTCTGTCCCTTCTCACAGCTGTGAAGCTGTGATTCAGAGGGATTGGAGCCAACAGCATAAAGCAGCACCTGTTAACACTGTCCAGCCCAAAACACCATCCCCCTGGTCCTCACAGCAACTCAGCCTTTCTGTAATGCAGATTTTGTTGCTTATCCCAGCACTGCTTGAAGGTTGCTGAACTCATTTACTCCAGGGAGAGTTTCTGCACATCTGGTCCCTGGCTGGAAAATCTTTTTTATGTAAGTATCTCACCCTTCTTCAGCAAGGAACAGCATGTGAAGCTTGGGCTGGACTTGTCTCTGCAGGTGGTGGTTCTTTGACTAAAACACAAGACACGCATTTCCCTGCAAGGCTATTTCACCCCAAGCTTTGCAGCTTGGTTGCTGCAAGAGAAGTTTCCCCCCTGGAGTCAGTGTTACATCAAACCCTTCTTCCAACTTTTTCTCTTGATCATCCTCTCTAAAATTACTCAGAGGGTTGCTCAAGAGCAGCTGGGTGGGTAGGAGGCATTTAATGAAGATGCCTTTACTTCACCATCAAGTTGGAGAGCTGAGCCATGGTGTTCACTTCTTCTCCCCTTCTTGTCTGCGAGACTTTTCTAACAGTGCTGGTGGGCTCAGGCCCCTTTCCCCCCTGTGATTAGATAGCAGAAAGCAAGGTGAACTTGCTCCCTTTATTTTAATATATTAGCCAGCTATGCTTAATGAAAAGCTGAAAGGTAATTTTTAACTGTAGACTGAGTGATATAGCCTTAAAAGGGAGCAAGGTATCCCTGAGGATGGTGGCAATAAGTATGGAGAAATAATGTACATGGCTCTTTGGGAAGCACCTTACCTGTCTAAAAGACCTGCCATCCTACTGATCTCAGATGGATGAATTTATGGCCTTGTTATAAATTTCCTGATGCCTCAGCTTCCTAACCTTGAAACATTCATTCCAAGTCGCTACAGCTTTACAAATAGATAATTTTTTTTTCAGAAATAGAGTTTTTCCATCTGTTTGTTCCATTTTCCCATCTGTTCTTCCAGCCTCATAATCATATTCAACCTGTTTACAAAGATTGCCTTTAAATATATACATATATGTAACTCTTTTTATTCAAAGATTGCCTTTGAATATATACATATATATAACTATTTTTTCTATTCCAGGACAATTGTTTCTTTCACAGTGGTTTGGTTTGTTCTTAAACTGCCTCTCTGAAGTTCTCTGGGCACTTTTTTGGCTAATCCACTTACCTTTCCAATATGCATTTTGATCTTCAATGAGCTCATTACTCTTTGAGGCCACCAGGAATTCTTGCCAGCTGCAGGGTGATCACTTTGGCAGGGCCAGACCATGAGCTGCAGCCACATCCCCGTGAGAAAGACAGCATATCCCAATGGATGTGGCATTCTTGTGTCCAGCGGGGTGCCACAAGGGCGAGTGACACCAGGGAGTTCCAGCAGACAGCCCAACCCTTGTGCCTTCCCCTACAATGTCAGTCTGTACCTGCTCAGGAGCATTTTCTGCTCCCATAAGCCAGGTGAATATGTATGAATATTGTAGCAGCTCTCAAGGCTCTGCTTTCACTGAAGAACCTCTAGTATCTCCTGAGTAGTGACTAGGTAGAGATTAAGGTACCTAAAGCATTCCTCAGCCTGACCAATCTGGAAAAAATTCCCTGGAATCAGCAGGCAATATTGTATTACAATTAGATCAGAAGCTGGACTGGATTTCTATCTGTGATTTGTCTGAAAAGCACAAGTAGCACCCTCTGAGAAGGGATCATTTCTGCTACAGAGAAAGAGCAAATCTGTGTCTTTACAGGCCACCCAAAAAGTGATTTTTGATTTGTCAAAATAATCCTTTAAGTAGAGGAATTGAGAGTTTGGAAGATATCCAAAAATGTGTTAATCTAAACTTTTTTAATTTCTCTTTTTATGTAAGGAAGGGAGGAAACTAATAATAAGCTCATAAATCATGTGCTTAAGTTTAAAGAAAAATGCTTTGGGAAAGTTTTCTAGCCTCTGCAAGACATTTTGTTTTTATTCCTTCTGTCTCCACAAGACTTTTGCCTTCTACTGTTTGCCAGCAGGATTGGAAAAATTCTACTGGTCTTGTCATCACAAGGGACGCTTGTGGAATTGTTTTATTGTTGCCCTTCTCCTTCTGGTAGGATGAGATCAATCCCTTCATTTCGCTGAAGTCAAGGCATCTTCTCTCTCATTCCAGATGAGCCAAGCTGCTTGCAAACAACGAGGGCCTTTGTTAAATTGTGAGCCTTGGAAGATCGCTGTGCTCCACCTTTCAGGTAAAAGGGCTCACAGGAAGCCTTTGGGGCAGAGGAGACCCCAGTTCCACTTTCCAAGCAGGAGGATTTTCCCAGGAGGACTCACAGCACTGGCCTTCCAGACTACAGACAACACTGATGTCTTTTAAAGGTTTATCAAGAGCATCTTGCTCACGATGGGGAGGGGGCAGCAGACTTCTGCAGCAGCCCATCCTCTTGGTCTTGGCTTTATTTTAGGGTGGTCTTGTGGCCACTAAGCAGACATGAGCTATAGATTTACCTCCACTGGCTGCTGTTTTGGGCCACGGGATTTTAGGCACAAGAAGCTGGTCCTGCGTGTTTTATAGCAAGCCCAAGGCTTCACCTGCCAGCTCAGCATAGAAAGTTTACCCATTACCAACCTGTGGCGGTCGGGTTCCCTTTGTTCCCAGAAAACAAAGGCTCTGTGTTCACAGCTAAATCCCTCCATCCAAGTGTTTCCTGTAACAAAACAAAAGCCCGCTAAATAGGAACGTTTCTCCCTCTGGGAAACGATGCATTCCCTCACGTTCACGGTATGCAGTGTTCCCTTAGTTCACTGATTTTGTTACTTTTTACAGTTCAGTTTCCATACGCTGCTGCTCATGTGTGGTGCCAATGCTGCTGGTGATGAATTTCTCGCAGAGCTGACTTGAGCAATGTCTCTGTAGTAATAATTTTCTGTCTCCCCAGCGTTTAGCTGAGTACATTGTCTCCAAGACCTTTCACCAAGCATCCATCAGGAAGGAGTTCAAGCTAAGCAAGACATTACCCCGTTCCAGAGGCTGAGCAAAGCACATGCCTACCCTGTAACTAATTATTTCTATTGGCTGATTGGTTTTTAATGCATCTGTTTTACAGGTAAACAGATTTATCTTAGGAAGGCATAGGTAATAATGATGCTGGGGTTTTTTTATTCATTGCCTTCCATCAGAGACTGAAGGGCTCCATGCTGAAATAGGTGTCATTTAGCTGTACAGTCCCTTGATTTTTGTACTTAGGCAGAATGGGCATCTGAGACTGCTGGGTACAATTAGGAAAGCCTGAAAAACTTGTGGAGCCTTCTAACAAGACTCCATAAATGGATGCCATTAACCATGTGTTCTCCAACCCCAGCTCCTCATGAACCTCCTCTTTATAAAATAGAACTTTTTGTAATTGTCAGAGTCCCTGGAGGAGCCAATTTCTGGTGCAAGGAGCCCACAACATGGATTTCACATGCAGACAGCACAAAGAGCATCAGCTATTTGTGATGTTCCACTCCCCCTCCTGATCCCAGGTATAAATCTCATCGTTAATATTTTGGAGGCATCTCAGCAACTGCTCTGGCAACTGTGATGCTGCTTATACAGTGGTTGTATTGCAGAAACACTCACAGAGCACACAGCCCCTGGATCAAGGAGCACACAGCCCCTGGATCAAGGAGACCCAAAGGTCAGCGCTTGACCCAAAGTACTTAAGACTGAAACATCAGAAGGGAAGATGGAAGCACTGGAGACAGAAAAGCTCTGCTCACTGGTATAATTTAGATGCAATCAGGGGATTGCAATGAGGGAAAGGATCTTGAATATCCAGTTCAGACTTACAAATTAGGGAAAGGGAAGAAAATCACCAAGTTAAAATTCTTGGAGGGAGATGTCATATATGTACATGGTAAGTAAAGCCATGGGCAGAGAGCACTGCCTTGGTGATGTCCTCATCCACACCACTCCTGCCTGTGTTTTTAACTTGTTTTCAAATAAATGTGGGTCTTAAAACCAAAAATCTATTGCTAGAGGTACTCAAGAGTTGCAGTGCCTGCCTTCAATCTATCCTGGCCAGTCTTGGAGACCTGAGCCACAGTGAACCCAACAAGCACTCACGAGTGTTCACATGTAACAGACCTCCTCAGGTGAAAGTGTGGTTCCCCCATTCCTGGACTTTTCTGCTTTGGAGAGACCCTTCTTTTTCTTACCACTAATGCAAAAAAAAAAAAAAAAAAAAAAAAAAAAAAAAAAAAAAAAAAAGAAGAAGGGCTTTCAGGGTAAATTTTACCAGGGCCAGGTTTTCCTGCCTGCCCTCCCAGGGCTGGGGGAAGGAGGAAGACCTTTACCTGCTGCTCGCTGCTGGGCAGGGGGCACCAGGAAGGAAACAGGACCCAGCCGTCTGGCGACAGCTTTTTTCGGCTGGATTTCGGCTCGCCTGCCAGGCTGGGGTTGCAGCTGGCTGGCCTGATCTCCTTCCCTCCCACCGGCTCTCACTGGGAGCAGAACATGCCTTCTCCTGCTGATTTCTGCTTGCCATATTGATTGCAGCAGGGTATAATGGAGACAAGTCAGGCAGAAAGCCAGCCACCCTTGGGAATGATTAAAGAGCAAGCAGAAAAGGATAGAAGTGAAGAAAAACAGGCTGACACTTAGGGCATGGTGGATTTGGAGCAAATTATGCCCTTTTCCCCACCTCACCCCTGCGAGGTGCCTGGGATGGTTCAGCAGCACCTCTATTTCAGCTCTGCCCAAAAGAAGCATCATATCGGCCCCCATGAACGCGGGGAACAAAATCCCCAGAACGTGTACAATATCCCTATTGTGCATGGATTTGAAGCCTGATTATTCAGAGCATAGCCAAGGAAAGGTAAGGCTATGACCCATTGTTTTCCTGCGATCAATTGAATACTGTCATTTGCATTTAAAACGCTCTAAATTCGCACTGTCAATATGCCAAACAGCTGCTCGAGCTTTTCAGCATTCCATGGTGACAATCACACTATCATACATCATTGGCACCAGGATTTGCAATACTCTCAGTGTCAAAATTTTGTGGGTTTTTTTTACGAGGGGAAAAAAAAAAAATCCTCCCCTCCCCCCAAAATACCCAAACCTGTGAAAAATCCACTTTTAAAATGATGGCGTTGGATGCTGCTAAGCAGGCCTTCACAGATGCCAACATATCAAAATTCATCTCTTTTCTTCCTCTCCTACAATTAAAAGGTAGTTAAGAAAGAGGCTGTTCCTGATAGACCCACCTTCTGTTTTCTCCTTTGTATGCGTATTATTCATTAGCAGTCTAATAAGAGTTTCAAAATGCTCTGTGCCTCTGCCAGCAGGGCATATGTATGTAGACATGTGCTTGTGACAGATAAGTACATAAACAGCATATTGGCACCAGAAAGACATCTGTGCCTAGAAAAACGCTTGTGATATGTACATAAATGACATTTTAGCTCTAGTCAAGTCCTTGTGGCTTTGAGAGGAATATGTGACTGTACTCTTCTCTGTGAATACTGAAAAGGTGCGCCTCAGACGGGAGAGTTTTCCCGAGGTTTGTGGGGAGATGGGGAACAGGCCGGGCTGCAGCCAGGTTGCGGCAGACGGTGGGAGCGCCGTGCCAGGGGAGGGTGGGCGCTGCCTCTGGCGCTGCCGCGGGGGGAAGCACCCGGCACCCCCAAACCTGACTCGGTGCATCCGACGGGATGTGCCTGCGGGGCGGCGCTGCCAACGCGGCCCAGATCCACCGGTGCGAAGGGAATCAAATCTTGGACCAAAAAGCCAAGGGTGATCCAGGGTCGGGGGGTATAGGGAGGGCTCCCTGCAGCACTTTCTGCTAACTGCATTTTATTATCTGGCTGAAGTCTGAGTGTATTCCCTTCACAACTGGCTTCTACAGCAGAAAAGGGACATTTTGGACTCTAACAGAAGGGGACTGAGCATCCCATCTTCTGGGATCATTCCCAGATGGCACAGACACTGTAGGTCTGCTCACACCACTTGGTTTAGGCTCGTAATGCCTCAGTTTGCCCATTCCTGGTGACAGATCCCTGACTTGGAGCTTTAATGAGCACTGGAAATGTTGTGGCTGGGAGGTTACAGGCGAGAGGTCTATGGTCCCAGGAAAACCTAGACATTACTTGCATGTAGTCTGGGTGAGGGAGGAGAGAGAGAAGATGCAAAATTGGCAGCACTTCAGTATTCACCACACACACAGAGCAGTAAATATGAACTTGGCTTCCTGATTCAGGGCACTGAAGCCAAAGTCTGGGATATATGGGAGCCCTTATGTCCCAGTGACATCACCCCAAGTGGGGAACTTCAGCCTAAATTGTGAGGTCAACCATGTCTTTCCTGAGTTTACCCCAGGAGGTTTGGGTGCTCCAGCACTCTCCATTCCTGGCTTTCTGAAATTACAAATCCACTGTAGATTTCATTTGATCCAGTAAAGTAAATCCTGAAAGGAAATGAGTGTCCTAATCTGTCACTGACTCCAGGTTCATGAAGATTCACCTGTGCTGGACCATGAAAGAGCAGCTGCACCTGCATGAAAACCTCCTGGGATGTGGCATTTAGACAGACATCGGGGTGGTCGCTGCTGCTCAAGAGCTTGCCTGTGGTGAAAATGGCCTCACTTCCTTGGGTCTGACACGAAGAGGAGAGAAACAGCAAAATATTTCTTGCTGGAAATCAGGATGGGTCCTCGGACTTTGCTGAGCCTGTTTGTTGACGTGACCTGAGTTCGCGGCTCCCCGGGTGGATGGGGGTCTCACACCTCCAACATGATGGATGGAACAACAGTGGTGGATGAGCTGTTACTTGCCTGAAAAAAAGTGTTTTGGGGGAAAATTGTCTCCAGTCATTCTCATTTTGCATGTGATTTTTCCTACATATGCTTCTAATCATTAAGAAATTCTGTAGCTTAAATAATGCTCTGAAAGTACGGTAACTGTTGGACTACATTCTGTTGTAACCTTATTGAATTTCACTTCTCTGGAAAAAATAATGGGATACTATATCTTGAAAAACAAATGGTAATTGCATTTTTAACAGAATGTTTCTCTTTGTGTTTCAAAACCTTCTGCACACAGTTAGACATCTAGCCAGGGAAGAAGGTACAAAGCATATGGGCCAATTTCTGTCTCTTGGCTGTTCAAGATGCCTTAATATTCAGGCACTGATGTGTGTGTGTCCATGCAATATGGCACTATTTATCTATGTGGTATCCTTGAGCTCAGGTGAGGTGGTCAAAAGCTTCTACTGGCATCAGGGGAGGTATTTGAGGAGAAACTGGGGGAAGTGGGTCTACATCCTGTTCCCTACTAGATGTGTGGGTGCACATCCCCTTATGAATTCAAATTTGTGTTATGTGATCTGCAGAAGACCAGTGTTCCAGCATTCATGGTGCTGGCCAGAGGAACACGTTCGTCTGCAGGTGACCAGGATCTTACAGAAATGTTCTTGTCGACACTGCAGAGACTGGCGTTGTCCAACAACCTTTGCACTGCCCATGTGCCATGGAGACATGACTTCCTCAGTGCTTTGGGGATTTGCACATCACCACGTGCTGAGAACTGGGTTGATTAAAGTCTGGGACCCAAAATAGAATTGCCACAGTTTGATAACATGCTGGTGTTATTGTCTGCCAAGGTTAGGAGAGCCCTGGTAATACTGGAAGGCTCTTCCATAATTCTTTGTGAATCTGGTGTGTTCAGAACTTTGTGAGGGGATGCATTTGGACATGTGAAGCCTCAAGGCAAAGGAATAGACTTGAGGTTTCTGACTGACAAGACACATGTGAGTACACGCAGAATGTGCTCCTCCTGCTAAAAATAACATTTCTCCTGTCAACCACGATGCACCCACCCCCACAACACCACCCAGAAGAACACATTAACACCTTGGCTTTGCACGTAGCCCGATTCACAGCAGCCACAAGTGGTAGAGGGATCTGCACTCTGTGCATGCTGACAAATCATATGGCACAGCGAGGAACAGAGGAGTGAAACTGGGCTAGCAGAAGTTGACGCCTTATCATCACAGTCCCTCTGAGCATGCTGTAGGCTGACACCTCCACCAACCCAGTCATCTCCCTGGTGCCAGGATGAGGAGCACGAGCCTGCTATCCTGATTTAGCCTCTGGGAAGCCAGGCTTGGCTTGCCACACCAGGAAGGCTGGAAGAGGTGCGTGGATGCAAAGGGAGCAGGAGCACCGTGGGTGTGCCGGCATGAGGAGAAGCAAAGCACACCCAACCACTGCTGCTCACAGCTGTGCTTTGGGGACAAGCAAAATGTGCTTTATACATAAGGGATGTGAGATGTTTCTCCCATTGCCGTTCCCCGTTGCTGCCTTATCCCATCCAGGAAGCTGTAAATAATATTTCAAAGCAAGAAGGGTTGGGTTGCAGATAACTTTTGCCCCTAAAAATGACTCCTGCCATAGCCAAAGTGCAGGTCTGTCAGCCTGCTCCTAAGATAATGAAAGACAGGGACAGCAAAGCTTTTAAAAATGGTGAAAGACCAGAGAATACCAGAATTTTTTTCCAATTATTGTTTCATATGAAAAGCTGCACTTCTTTTTCCTTAAAAATTAAAGCTTTCTTTAAAGCTGAAGACACAGCATCCCTGCCCATGGCAGGAGGTTGGAACCAGAGGATCTTTAAGTTCCCATTCAACCCCAGCCATCATAAGATTCTATGGCAGTAAAAAATGACCATCCTTCAGAATTTTTCATATTAAATTCCCATTCAACCCAAATCATCATAAGATTCTGTGGCAGTAAAAACTGACCATCCCTCAGAATTTCTCACATTAAGTTCTAGGCAATTAATTAGGAAACTCATTCTTTATAGTTTTGCTTTAGTACAAATTTAGATTCCTCTTAAAAGGAGGAAAAAAAAAAATAAAGAAAGAGAGAGCTGGGACAAAGTTGTAGCTAAATATCAGCAGGCGACACAAGATTCATTCCAAGTCCTAGAGGTCACTGTCAGTCCACTGCAGCCTTCCCCCAGGATAGTGTGAAGCTTTATTCAAAGGAGATTTTTGGAAAACCCAGGAGATTTAAATGCATAAGGTCCAATCCCACGGCAAGCACATGAGCCTATGTTCTCACTCTTGAAATTAAGCTCCTTTACCTCTCATCTGTGTGGCTGGGAGAGCCCTGGGCCCCTGCAGTTCTTCCCTTGTCTGAACCTCCCCTGACGGCTCCAGCAAAGCCAGGAAGGTTTTGGTGGGCACTGAAGGCACCCAGCCCATGCAGATGGTGCTTAGCACTTAACAGGATCAGCCCCTCAGCCCCTTGTGTGGTGCCATCACCTCAGATGCCACACCATCCCTGAAACTACGCGATGCCCACCACATGTGATCGGCCCCATAAGCTGCTTTCACCTCACCTCAGATGTTTGCTCTGCTGATAATCCCAGTGGGGTGTCCATATAAAGGAGCCCTTGTTCCTTGTTCAGGGCAAAAGGGAGGAATGCTCTTCCATAAGAAAATTAGGGAGTTGACAGAGATGTAAAGCTAAAAGTTTTGCAAGATTGCTTTGGCTTGGCCAAACGTTGTGAGGTTTCGGGATTGTTTTTGGAGATCCTGGTGTTTAAAGTTAGTTATTCAGCAGGTGGTCTGGCAGAAGCTGTGTATGGAAAGGCTGCTCCAGTCAGCTATCAGCATTTTAGCTTTTTTTGTTTCTTCTCCAGTCCTTGCTTACTACTGTTTTAGCAAATGTAACACCAGAATCAAGTCTCTTCCTGGGATGAAAACCTGTGAGTACATCAGCCAAGATGGAGCTACAGTTTTGGCCTGATTTGGTGTCTGTCTTGAAAAAGATGAACAGTTGGATGGTCCTGGTGGTTCTGGTCATATTGTTTTTAATTATTGACCTAGTGAGAAAGAGACGACCCAGGAATTTCCCTCCAGGGCCGCAGCTCTTTCCTCTCGTGGGAACCGTTGTGGACTTTAAGCAGCCTCTCCATCTTGCACTGCAGAAGGTAAGAGCTCCATGGACATTTTCCCTATTAACAATATCTTTCCCTTCCATGACTCTTTCCACCACACTGAGAAGCAGCAAGAGCAGACTCTGCAGAGCTGGGTATATAATAATCACATGTTATAGATGACCCTTCTTGCTTTTATCTCTCACTGTCACCTCCTTTTCCAAAGGAGTAGGATGGTCCAATGGAAAAGAAATCCATCATGGAGCAAGACCTATATGTTCCTCCTTTCTCTTCCGATCTGGCTGTGACCATTTCCTTCTGGACCCCAGAAAGGACTCAGAAGGGCTGGGCCAGGCTGGGGGACAGGAGAAAAGTGCTGTGTGACAGCTGAACTGTTTGGAGATCACCTCTGAAAATTGTCCTGTCATTGTCTTTGCTCAGAGGCCAACAACTCACCTCATCACATCGGAAAGAAACATTTTAAATCCTGAGTTATGTCCAGTGGCTTCTTCTATGTTGCAGAAAGAGGCAGTGATCTCTCTGGAAGGGTTTCCACATCTTTGGCTCCCACCAGAGACAAAAAGAGAGAGATTTTATGCATATGCTAAGTATTCCTCTCTGAAAAGGTGGAAGAAGTTCTGGCATGCTGACTGCAAAAATCCTTTCTGGTGACTGTCTCTTGCTTTTGTGTCAGAGTGACACCAGCCTGTCTACCCTGCGTGTTCTCAGGCCTCCAGCATGGTTGGACCCTGAGGGAATCCTCAGGGAAGGCTGAGGCAGCGAATTTAGAATAATTTGCCAATACACACAGTTGTTATGAAAATTAACCCTGTTTATTTACAAGCACACAATGACTGAGACACCCAATTGGTCCCAGGCTGGTTTCACGAGTCACCACAGCAGTGTGGGGTGACCCTGTAAGTCCTTCCATGTAGATTCATTCTAAGAGGAGGATGAGCTCCTTGACAGAGAGAAGATATGATCCCCCTTTTACCCTTATACATCTCAGAGGAGACACTAATGCCAGCAAAGTCCATGCAAGGAAAATGGCTGCAATTTGGCCATAAATGCACTCAGGCTTAAAATTGGAAGTACGTGTCTAGCAATAAGCAGTTAGAGCTCCTGTCTAAATGGGAGAGCTGGAGAAGAAACCACACCACTCTAGATAAAATGTTGATGAAAGGGACAATTTGTCATGCTTTTCCCTCAGCAGGAGGAGCCTGAGTGTGGTGGGACACTGACCCAGGTGGTGGGACAGAAAGGAACAGAGCAGATGCCCATCAGTTACAAAGCAAATTACATCCTTGTTACAAGCCAAACTGATGTAAACACCTGGTCCAGCCCAGGTCACAGTAGATAACAAATAGAAGCAATCCATCTCTCCCAAACTACAGCCCTCCAGCCCTTCTTATGCCTTCTCCAGCCTTCATGGAGTAGCTGAGATTGGATGGGACCTGCACGCTTGGGTTTGGGTTTCTCTCAAGTCCCTTTGCTTCAAGCAGGGTTAAATTCAAAGTCAGATTTCCCTGTTCAAGGTCTTGGCCTGGTGAGTTTTGAAAATCCCCATCTTCTTGTTCTCAGAGGACAATGGGCTCTCTTTCAGCTTACGGGTCAGTACGGGAACATCTTCAGCGTGCAGTTTGGAAGTCTGACATTCGTGGTGGTCAGCGGGTACCAGATGGTGAGAGAAGCCCTTGTCCACCAGGCTGAAACATTTGCTGATCGGCCAAATATTCCACTCCTCCAAGAAATATTTAGAGGCTTTGGTAAGCTACCAGGATTTTGGGACAAAACTTTCATCTCTTTGCAATGGTAACTGTTAGAGGGAAAGAAACGGGTTGAATTCAACCCTTGGGAGTTGCACCTGTGAGAGCCTGCACAGGGCAAGGCTAGAATACTCCTAATCTCAGAGGGGTATGTTTTAATCTCTGGGCAATTTAGGGATGAGCATGGGCTCAAAACAAGAGTTTAATGAAAGAGGAGATATAAATGCAAGCTCTCTCAAGATCCATACACTTGCAGCGTTTCCCCTTGCTTTTCATTTCTCCTTTACTTTTCCTGCCTGGGTTGCACACAGCTCCAGAGACGGGGTGCTCCTGCCTGCAGCTCCG